TCATTTTTCCTTACCTGGAATCAAAGAGTTTAAGAGAATTTTCTTTGATATCAATAAGTACATTATTTAACAACTGTTCGATAATAATACTAAATAAATTACTTCAAGCCATACTATAACACATTTCCTCTTTTAAAAGTGTTCATACTATTTGAAATATTTTGCAACTGTAATTCTACATTTAAAGATTGTTATGTCCCTCCATATTAAGAAGAGGTCTGGAAAACAAAATTCTGTGCTAAAAATAGACCACGTGCTGCTACCCATGAACTACTTTCATGGTTCTTTACACTCTTTTTGAAGACAACGATACCTTGATTTGAACTTGAAATTATCATTTAAAAGTGCAAAATTTAGACATTTTCTCAACAAATGGTTGTAGACAGAACATTGATGCACAGTTTGCATATTTTTTTTGGATTTTTTAAGGTTCTGCTGAATTCTGTAGCTGCGCAGTTCTAAGGAGCATATCAAATGCATTTTTCTGCAAAAGTATAGATTATATATGCACAACATGCATTCAGTTATGGATATTTATTGTATCTTTATCATAAGGACTTAAAATTTGATCAAAATATGATGTATTTTAGCCATTTGAAGAAATGTTTACATTTTGTTCTTACAGCACTAAAGGTGGCCGTACATCCCCCTTAATATATATTTTATGTTGATAAGCTTTAATGTGGTTGTAGATTTCTTATAGAGTACTGCAAATTTGCTGTTTTTTAAATCAAAATAAACCTAAAAAAAACTAGTTTTATTTATCAAAAGGTGAAGAGAATTTCAATAATCAACAGTTGTTAAAATAGAGTATTTTTAGATAAATAGAATAATAATTTAAAAAGCTTTTATTAATGACTAGTAATAAAAAATATTTGTTTAACCATAAATTCAGGTGTCATGATAAAGTACAAAACACGCTATTTGAAAGGCGCGTGGTTTCCATAGCAACAATGCGAAAAATTATTTTTGGCTTGCTTTTTTCTATTATACCCTTTGTTCTGCAAATTTATATATGAGTTTTAACCAAATCTGTTTCTATGCCACTTTCCACATTTTTTAACTAAATGCTCGATGCTTGCTGATTTTGACTCTTAAATTGTTAAGCAACGAATAAACCTGCAACCCTTATAGCGCCCCCTTTGGTCTTAATAATGCAACCTTGTACAATTTACAAATCACGAAAGTACAATTTACATTTCACAAGTTGACAAATCGTAAGTCTACGAATTACACGAGAGCATCGGCAAAACTTGCATTTACATTTTTACACTTGTCAAATCACGCATGGATAGTTACAACTAACAAATTGTGAAAAAAACAATTTACAGATTATGAAATTAAGATTTACAATTTACAAATTCAAATTTACAAATGTACATTTAAAGAATTACAGAGTTGGAATTTTAAACCCGTTGGCTTTCCATACTTCCCTCCCTCCGTTGTTCAAGTATATCGGGAAAAACTTTCAGGAATCCACACTTTTATATTAAAAAATACATTTAAGTTTCATCTCTTCTGGCCATGTGGTTCTTGAAAAGAAAAAAAAAACATGACTTAATTATTTTTAATTTTCTGTCCTGAAAGACTTCGAAGGATTTGCTCTTCATTTGAACAGACCTGCATGGACGCCCTTACCCAAGAAAACAATCCCAGGTAGTTTGGGTTCATATATTGATTAATACAAAGAGAGAGGGGATTTCAAAGCACTTTTCAACGCAATAATAGTGCAACATTTTACACGCCAAACTCACAAAATGGTTTATTATGGAACGCCGTCACTGCCTTATAGCAGAACACAAGAATTGCACTGCGTCAACCTTCCATTTCATTATGTCAACTCTTTATGACATTTACTCACACAACTATTACATTGTGTCAACCTTCTATTACATTATGTCAACTCTACATGATATTAACTCATACTACTATAGCATTGTGTGAACTTTCCTTTACATTATGTCAACTCTTTATGATATTTACTCACACTACTATTGCATTGTGTGAACTTTTCTTTACATTATGTCAACTCTTTATGACATTTACTCCCACTATTATTTTATTGTGTCAACCTTCCATTATATTATGTCAACTCTTTATGACATTAACCCACACTACTACTGCATTGTGTCAACCTTCCATTACATTATATCAACTCTTTATGATATTTACTCACACTACTATTGCATTGTGTGAACTTTCCTTTACATAAAGTCAACTCTATATGACATTTACTCACACTTATATAACATTGTGTCAACCTTCCGTTCCATTATGTCAACTCTTTACGACATTTACTCACACTATTATTATTGCATTGTGTCAACCTTCCATTTCATTATGTCAACTCTTTATGACATTTACTCACACTACTATTGCGTTGTGTCAACCTTCCATTATATTATGTCAACTCTTTATGACATTAACCCACACTACTACTGCATTGTGTCAACCTTCCATTATATTATGTCAACTCTTTATGACATTAACCCACACTACTACTGCATTGTGTCAATCTTCCATTATATTGTGTCAATTCTTTATGATATTATCCCACACTACTGTTGCATCGTGTAAACCTTCCTTTACATTATGTCAACACTTTATGACATTTACACATTCTTGCATTTCGTTATGTTTACTGTTCATGACATAAATTAAACAACAATTACATCGTGTTAACCTATCATTATATTATGTCAATTCTTTATGATATTAACTCACACTACTACATTATGTCGATTCACTATTACGTTATGCGAACACGGGTATCCTCGGCCTTTATATGAGCATAACGTATTTTCCGCGTTCCGCAAGCACTAAAATTGGCGGGAGAGAAAATTGTCGTAGAAGAAATCTCAGCGATTTGGGAATGGCATCTTTAAATAAAAATTTTAAGCGACAAAGGATTGACAATCTTAAAACGTGCAAAGCCTTAACATTGCGTCTGTGAATTAAAGTCACGTCGAAATTCAATGGCGTTTACTTTTATCTGATAATTAAATAAATCAATTATGAGTCGTGCTATGGAATGCCATAAACGACAGCCAACTGCTTACTGCCAACTGCTGACTGCTTACTGCCAACTGCCACACATATTTGAATAAATTTTATATTCATATTAGGGATGTCAACGAGTACCCGGTTAACCGGGTACTCGATCGAACGCCCGAGTATCGAATACTAAAATCGGTACTCGGTTACTCGGATGTATATTTTTAAATATTTCTAAGCTTATTTATTAATACATTAAAACATCGGTTTTAAATCGTAAAATGTTCATTGCACTTGTACATACAGTAATTAGGGTTTCCTATGCCCCTAAAAGACCGTTATCGCCTGTGGCAGTGTTTATACAGTAATTACCATGACCAAGCACCTGCTACCTACCTGGCTTTTCTCACTTTCGCTCTTTCCCCGAGAATTTACGGCTTCTTGAAGACTTGACAAAATTATTTAATTTATTTAAATATAATGGACCTTAAACGATGTTCAATGAAAACAAAATAATTAAAGCAAAGTAAACATAAGGGTAGAAGACAGTCGACAGACGATATTGCACGTGCGATTGTTGATATGGATGCGTTCGATTACATGCCAATTAATGCAAATGGTTGAAGGCAAATGCTTTGAAAATCTTATGTCCATCGTTGCTCCAAACTACAACATACCGTATCGTAATTCTCTGAAATCTAAGATCGAAAAGTGTACAAAGTTCGTAAATTCGCACTGTTATAGAATAACTTGATCAAGTTGATACTGTACATGTACCTCAGACAACTTATCACTTGGACGTCAAACGCATCAAAGAGTTACATTACAATTATGGAACAGATTATTTTTTTAAAACAAAAACACTGTGAGCCATTTATGATTTTATTTCTCGTATTTATCTGATAAATAATTTCAAAATTGAACTTAAAAAAAATGTTAGATTAAATTTCGTCTGGCACAAAGTAGTCATATTTGTTACAACGCATTTCCAGGTAATCTACCTACAAGAGTTTACAATGTTTTACAGTCATCAATTAACTTGTTCATATTTATTTACACTTTTACCGAGTACCCGGGTACTCGATGGGAAAAACGTCCGAGTAACCGAGTATTAAAAATTGACCGATTTGCCATCCCTAATTCATATTGATATTTACATGAATTTTCAAAAAAAAAAAAAAAAAAAAAAAAAAAAATGTCGCGGATCCAGGACATTTTTTTTCAAAGAGGTTACCCTGGTAAAATTAAATTGACTATATGACCATTATGTTTTAAATTATGCTATATTCAAATAAGAAAATAAAATGTACTTTATCAATGGCATAATCTATTACTATTATTTCCTCTGGATGGCGAATATTTCGTAATTGGGTTATAGGTATGTCTTTTGCCCGGTTGATTCCGTCCTCAATAAGGTTCATTGGGTAATTTTGTCGCGTCAGGTGTTGTTCTTTTCAAGCGTAGAGAAGAATCGGTCACGATTGTACAAATACGTCTCGCCATATTGTATGGAATGTTCCTTTTTGTATGTGACGGATGGCAATTTAAGAGCGAAAGTCCAAATATTGATGGGTATCTGTTTCTTTACAGAATAGGTCTGTAGAAATTTTTTTTTAAAAGTATATCAAGGAAAGGAAGCGAGTTACGATTCATGTCACTTGTGAAATTAATTGAATCGTGTAACTCATTAATGACCGAATGGAATTTTGTAAGATCCTCTTCACTCTTTGTCCAAAAGATGAAGCAATCATCCAAGTACCTTTTCCAGTTCTCTTTAATGTACTGCGTAAATTCTAGATCAAATGTTTCCGGCAAAATGTTGTATATATATATTTATATGTTTTAGAGATGACGCTTTTTGAGTCGTGGATCATATATTTACAGTTAAAATTTGAATTTCTACAATAATTTCACGAGTCTTGTTTTATTGTTTTTTAAGAGGTTAAATCCCTGAATCGGGCCATTTTCCTCAGTTGATCGGGCGGGGAGATTAAAATATTTTTTTTAAAAGATGGCCTAAGTAAATAGAAAACGAAAGAAGATTTGCCGGGAATTTCCTTTTTAGTTTGCTGTGATACAGACCGCCATTTGCAGAAAGAATTTAAAGTCAGGTAAATTAAATAAGATATACGTGAGCAGATTGTTGTAAGAAAACAGGGTGCAAATTGGAATAAAATTAAACACATAATAACGAATCGACAAAATTAATATAGATCTACACGATGAAAGATAACATTTACCTGTTATACCTCTCGCAAAAGGTACAATGTCAACGAGGACGTTGACAGAGTTTTTTTTACAAGTAAGACATTATACCTGACTTTTATATAGAATGGACCACGTTCCCCGTCTATCAGAGGTCCTGTATGTTGGTCTGTGTCGTAAGATAGGGACACCGACAGAAGTGGCCATCAGGAGAGACCTACTGGACATGGAGGAGATGATAATGAAACCTGTTTATAATCAAAGAGGAATTAGTATAATGGAGAGTGGGAGTTATAGAGAGGGGTTTAGGTTGAGATCATCGGACGTGGATAAAATGTTTTGCTTGGGGAAGTATAAATTAATATCTGATAGCATCTCCAATTTCTGGATTTACAATAACTCAAAACATCACGTAATACTGATGGAAGATTCAGACACACCGCCAGGATTTGTCAGACTTCGTCTTCTGACACCCATGCATGCACAATCTACTAAACCCAGTATTGTGAATTTATGTTATGCTTTCATTAATGGCGGGATTTACATATCTAGTTCTTTGATGAGAAAAGTTTCTTTTGATAAATTTACGAGCAAGGAAAGGTATGGAAACACAAATAACACCATTCACGGCCCTTGTACGAATTACTTTTTTAAATCTATTGAAATCGATAATGCTCCTTGCTTTGCCACCAATTGTTGCAGTAAATTCTTAAGAAGTTTTGTGGAAAGATGCCAGAGACATGTCTGGCCGCCTATATATGTGTTAGAAATAATTCTTAGAAAAGGATGTCACTGCGTGCCAATTGGAAGTACATGTAAATTGGTATCGAATTCTAATGAACTGGAATGGAGATTATCGTTTTCTCAAGCTGAACAGCAACTAGTATGTACCATGAACCATACACAATTTCTATGTTATGGTCTTCTGAAAATATTTCTAAAGGAAGTTATAAATTACCGACAAAAGACAATATTGTGTTCATATTTCATGAAGACCACAATGTTTTGGATGATGCAATTGGGAAACGTTAGTTGGCACCCAAACAATTTACTGAATTGCTTTTGGAAATGTTACAAATTTCTCATTCATGTTGTCTATCGCGGAGTTTTTCCAAATTTTTTTATTTCAAATAACAACATGATTGTAAACAAACTTGAAGGCGAAACACGTGAATCTCTTTTACAACAGCTTTATCAGTATTACAGAATGGGTGTGTCCTGTTTACTGCTGAGTCCGACTCTCAGATCAATCCTGGAACCAGCCCTCGATAACCAGTTTTTTGTGTTATCCTTTTCTGAGAACATAACATACAAAGATAAGTGTGGCTGGAAGGAGATATTCAGACTGGCGTTTCAAAGTGAAGAATTATCCGATTGTTATCACTACTTGATTCAAATTGATAAACTATCTCAATTATCAATCACACCATACCAGTTTTTAACATTACAGCACTGTACCTCCCAGAATCTCGTTGATTTAGCCTTCAGAATGGCTAATAGCACTTTATGTAGCACACATAAAAATGTATACATCTTAGATAGAATGATTTGTAACATGCTGAAATTTGCAGCAAAGTTAGGTCCCGTGTCTCATTTATTATATTTAGCATTGTATTACCACAAGACTGGGAGATATGATAAAACACTACATATCACTTATCTCGCTAGGCAAAGAATGTCACATGACTTTATTATGTACGCTACTTTTGTTAAGCAAAGGTACAATGAAGCTGTAGGTAATCTCTCTTTGTCTAGAAGAATGAGGACAGCGTGGGTTAACCATATGTATCTATTCAATGATATTTCCTGCATTGAATTAAGTTTGGAACGAAGTGTAATCCAACAAAATGGATTAGGGTTCTTAATTTTATCACCGTTTGTTTTAGTAGATATGTTGTCTGTGTTATCTCATTATAGACTAGGTAATAGATTTCAGTGTTTACAGTCACTGTCAGACCTACAGACACTGCTGCTCCATGACGATGGGACATATAATCCTTTACTCAACAGAGACATATCCTGGCAGATACTAGGAATCTGTCAGCATGTTGTGGGAGACTTACATGGTGCTTTAGAATCTTTTGAAGAGTCTCTCAGACAGGAACCATTCCATGGAATACAAGAAGCTACAGATATTAGAAAAAGATGGGTTAAAGGACAGTTACACAGAAATTTACAAACATAAAATAAAAAGAAAATGTTTCATTATGCTGGTCTGAAAAAGTTACAAGTAGTACTTGGATCAGTCAAACGTTTCTAAACATATTTAATTTAAATTATCTTTTAAAAATATTTTGCTGGTACGCTTTTTATGATTACATATGATAAAAATATCCTAATTTTTTATGTTATTATGTGTTGAACATTCATCTATGTTGATTTTTTTCCTAACTTTTATTTGTTGTAGAACATCACTCTGTATTTTATTTCAAATGTCAACGCAAGTGTAATCTCATTCTTCTGACTGCTTTGATTTTGTCATTAAAAAATATTGAAAATTAAAAAAAGTCAAGATTTCATTTCAGTTTTGATAAAAAGCGATAAAAAAAATTGCAGTACTAAAAGTTAGAACGCAAGCTTGTCACTTAATTGTCACCTTAAAGAATTCATTGTTTCTTGGTATCGTTTTCCTTCTTCTCCACCATTTGATTACTATGATATATTGGTTAATATACGTAAGTTTGTATACGTTCAGTAATTTCTAATGCCAATGGATTACTAGTAATTATACTGGTGATATATTAGTAAATAAACATAAATTGGTGTACATTAAGGGTCATTGATACTCTGATAAGAGAGATAACTCTTAATGACATATATGCCTATTATTCCTTTATAGATTTTCCAAGTTGAAGTGTCTTTTTTGTCCAATTTAGCCCCGCAAGCTATGCTATAATTGTTTGTATTTTACTCATAAAAAACATTTCTTTTGGAAAATCATTAAGGTTCAATCAACATTTTATATGAGTGAGCAGAGGGTTTATGAACCTTAAGTAATTCTTAAAACAGATAAATTAATTTTGAAATTTATTTTATCTGATAGCACTGCTTATTTTTCATCACATGATATATATTTTATATTTATCAACTTGCACGAGGTGATGGCACTTTTAAATGGCACTTTGAGCTACAATAACCTACATGTATCTACTTATATAATATACCGGTATATATCTGTTATTGTGTAATAAAAATGACACACCTGCACATATAAGCATTTACATGTGGTGCTACTAATATATTGATTTAATAAGAGCTATCTACAATTTATGTTGTTAATTTATAGACACTAGTGATAAAAGATCCATTGGCTACATCACTCACCTAAGCCACAGTTGACTACAATAATTCTTTCCAGAAAATAGTACCTTCAAAAGGTTATAATAATAATAATAATAATTGGTTTTATATAGCGCCTTTCTAGCATAAATGCTACTCAAAGCGCTTTACAATCATTATTACCCCAGCAGACTATAACAATCCAGAATCTTTCTCAGTGCAAGGTACTGTTAAGGCGCTAGAACACTAACATTCTGATAATATCTTTCACTGTCTAGGTACCCCTTTTACACTTGGGTGGAGTGAGGAAATTCGTGTAAAGTGCCTTTCCCAATGACACAACGTCGACTTGCCGCGGCCAGGATTCGAACACACAACCTTTCGATTTGAGGTCCGGCACCTTATACATTAGACTACCGACGCCACATGAGTTATGAGGTTATGAGTCCGATGAGATAACCAAAGTTAAATGCACACAAATGAATAATAGTGCTTCATTATCAACATGACTAATACATGTATATGGCTCTGGTGTTTTCCCTTGCATCATTTTTTGAAAGCTGTCTCTTCCGTACTTAACAAATCAAAATTAATGAATACGAATACAACTGTATAGCCCCACCCTGTTCCAGGATCCATGATGTAACCAAAAGTTCCTCCCAATGCCAGGTCGAGTTCTGAGTCAACACGTTGCCGTGGGAGCATTGGCATGTTTCGTTCGATTTTTCGTGGCATGCTTCTCTTATTGAAGAGCATCAATATCAAGTTAAATCTTTCATAAATAGTTATACATAATGTGTTAACAGAAAGGATTTAGTTGATATCTCATATGTACGAACGTGTTATAAGTTCTTAAGCATAAAATGGTTTAATTTAATTGGTTGAAAGAGTAAAAAAAATCTTTCAGAAAGATGTCGCTACACTCAGCTCATAAACTATAGAATAAAATATGTCAGGGGTCCCTGGACAACGTTGCATATTTTAAGGGTTGTCCGTCCCTAGCCTAAGGGCATGAAAGGATAAAACTTGAATCTACACTACCAGTACCTAGTAGTAAGGTTGTGTAGATAGAAGCATTTCCATATTAAATCTGACTGATCATGATCCTGATGATAGGAGAAAACTTTATAAATATTGTTCTCTACATATCCTCATACCAATTTTGTGACATTTTAAAGGTATCCCCAATTAAGAACTTAAATCCATGCTTTGTACACGAGAATACTTCTACTTCCATATAGATATGATTGTATATATGTCATCTGGTTCACGGGGGGTTGGCCGGGAATTTAATATCAGTGGGTGCAATCACCAGTGGTAAATACCGGTGTTTCCCTTCTCTGTAAATGCTACAAAAACCTGAGAAATACTGGGAAATAAATTTCTGATTTTAAATAATTGAAAGTGATACCAGATTGATAAGTTAGCCAATAAGTTGTGATACCTGTCTTGACACTGGAATATATGATTAAAGATATATAAAAATTTGTAGATATTTCTTATTTCATATTATTTCCCGGGAAATACCAGTATTTCCGAGGAATTACCAGTTCCAACCCTGGTCACAGGTACATGTACCTTAAAGCTGAACACGATTCGTAAAAGAATTGCGTCCGCCATGCTATACCTAAAGACCCAATTACAAAGGGCAGCTATACATGAAGACCCATAAACAAAGGGCAGGACTAAGTTAACATAACTGGTTGACACATTCCTTTTGCGAATCGTATTCAGCTTTAAGGTCAGTCAATATATTGGGTCTCAAAAGTTCAATTTATTTGTCAGAGTGTTGTTGCCACAATAAGCCAGATCGAGGCTCTGAGTTAAAGTCTCGGTTGAAACTCGATTTTTCAACATTTAGATATATATGGTTTTGCTGAAAATGACCAAAATGTCTAGTTCTCTTGTTGTATATGTCAATGAACATTGACTCAATACTTAATTTACGCCCATTCCTTTCTTCCTTGGTCCATTAAATTATACCCGGGAAAAACTTTGAAGAACCTACACTAATGCAAAAAAATATATATAAGTTTCATCTATTTTGGCCATGTTGTCCTTGCGAAAAAAAAAACTAATTTCTAATTTTATTTCCTGAAAGAAGACAACTCTTCGTTTGAACAAATCTGCATCAATCCCTTACCCACGTATATAAACTCAGTTACATGAAGTTTGGTTACTATATTCTGATTAATACATAGGATTAACACATTGAAAACATATTGTAGTTGGGTTTTTCAATTAAAAATAAATAATAAAACTAGATCTCTAAATTTCCTTATAACGTACGTGGCATATAGAATTAAACATAAAATGCTGTGTAGATTGGAGTCTTTAAGTAAAACTGAATACAATATATACAATTATGTTAAAAAATCAATTTGTTTCTATACTTCTGTTGTACGCTTTCTTTATATTAACACTGAATTTAGGATTTTTGAAAATCTTTCCAAACTAATGTGAAAATTATATATTCTTGTATAAATACTACTGGGACGAGACCTCTCTTCCATTAGTGCTGTCAAAAAGAGGGGAGTAAATAGACTGTGAAACGTATTTGTGGCTCCCTCGGTTGACATCTGCACTAAAATTATAATCTTCACCTTGATTCATGATGTATACTGTATAAATATATTTTTTGACAATAATTATACTTTTATTTTTTTTCTATATAATTTAACGACGTTCGATCCTGATATTTAAAGTCTTAAACTTTTTTGCCAAGTATATTTCTAGTTTCTACAAACATGGCTTAATTAAAATTCAACTCAAAAAATGGGGGTCTTTTTTTCTTTACTGTAGCTTCTTTTAGCGCTACAGTACATTTAATATGACCTTTCTGCACTGAAATTTGTGTCTTAATTAAAAATTACATCTTCGACGTTTTCCCTCCAATAATTTTATCTTTTTTTTATCCGATTAAAGCATGAAACTAAATGAACTCTAAGTCTGTTTAAAAAAAGACACTCAAAAATTGTGACTAAGAAAAAGTTTCAAATTGCTTGGCATAATCAATTATTTGACCTTTCTGCACTAATAAAATGTTATTTTTCCGGCATTGAAAATATATTAAGCAAGAAAATTATTTTAAAGTCTTAAACTTTTTCTGATTTTAAGCAAATAGGTCAAAGTTATCTTGAATATTTAGAAAAAAACATCAAAAGTGGGGGTATATGATGGACATTTTCAGATATAACTAATTAAAAAAGTGTGAATTTTACGTTTAAATTGGCTCAATTTTTTCCCGGATTTTCAGAATACATTTGCTATATTTGTCACACTTTGTTGATAGAATTCATAAGAAATAATTTAATAGATGTTTCAGAACCAGCATAACATATTTCACTGCAAAAAACAGCTTTGTGTGCAACCAGCATGGAAAAATAGGCATCCCAAATTTACAGTACTGTTATAGTTCCAATGTAAAAAAAACTGATTATTTTCGTCTAAAAAAACCTTCCGCCACAAAATATAGTCCCTACCTTAATTCTACTTGAATGGCATTTAATCGCGGTTTTTTCATTGAATATAGTTTAATTTGCATTGTAGAATTCAGTTTTATTGTTAGAACCTAAAAATGATGCTTAATTTTATGAATAAAGGACCTGCGCGAAATACGCTCAAAATATCAGGATCAAACGTCCTTAAAACATCTTGCGTGATGTCATAGGACATAATTATCATTGTTTAGAAGGAGCCTAGTCAGGGCCCCAACCCTGGCTGCTGCCTTATTTATCTTCTATTAATGTTATTTGATATGTTGTTTTAGATAAGGTCTGGGAAATAAACTTGTTTAAAAAGAAAATAAACAACCACATGTATATACTGATTAATACATGTAGAGATTTCAAAGGAAGTATCATCGCAACTTTAAATTAACACTTTACACGCCATACTCACTGAGTGGTTTAATGTTCGATTGAGGACGCTGTAAACACTGCACACTAAAGAGCTCTATTTATTGCATAGTTTATGAGGATAAAATAATCAGCCCTTAGATGTAAGATTAAAGAAATTGTTATTTACCGTTCATTACATAATTTATAATAGATAAATATATTTTTAGCAATATAAAAGACCAAGAGTAAGAAATTTAAATAATTATTTTCATTAATTTTTCCAATGTAAGTAAACAACTGTGATTTCTGCTGACAAATAGTCAAATGTTTTTTTTAACA